AATCTGGGCTTGAATAGGGACTGGGAGTGGCTGGCTCATTACAGAAGAGGCTTTTCCTCTCCGGGAATTGACACCTCCTCATCTATTATTGGGAGTGGACTACATCCACCCTGATTGAATTGGCCCTGTCAACACTGGTTCTCCACTTGCGAAGTAACTCCCTGCTCTCCATGTGTCAGTATATAATGCCTGCATCTGTAACTTTCACTCTATGCATCCGAAGAAGTGAGGTTTTTACCCACGAAAGCTTATGCCCAAATAAATCTGTTAGTCTTTAAGGTGCCACCAGACTCCTTTTTGTTTTTGTAGATACAGACTAACACGGCTACACCCTGATACTTCCCTCCCTCTTAGTTAACCAGAGTTTTTCACTTACCAGCACTTCCCATATCCCCAACATGCTGGATAAAAAAGTTTTTACTGTAATATGGTATCACAAAATGCTGTTCTTGATTTTCACTTCCTCTCCAACATGTTGAACTCACATCATGTGAAATTCTGAAGAGCAAGAGCAAATATTTGAACTGTTTATACTTTATTATGTAGGTGTAGGAGCACCACTGAAGAACAAGAGGGAGAGTTCTGCTTGTCTTTCTCAGGTAGGCTATTGGAATTCAATACACTGAAGACAAATTAACATGAGGTAAATTGCATAAGATAAATTTTCATAGTGATGCATAGGGAGATCAGCTACACAACCTTCATCGAAATTAGTAGGCATTATTAAGCATCTTATTCTCAGTGCATTGTGTAAATAATTACTCATAGAAACCTCAATTGCAATTGATGAAATGATTCCGTTAGCAGGAAGTCATCGGACATAGTTCTTACTCTTATTTCCTTTGTTTAGGCAATTTCTATTGTTCAGTCTCTTGTGATTTGTTGAGCTACTGTAGTTTAGTTTAGTCTGCTTTTAATTTGTAATGGGCATTAGATAGTGCCTTTTGTTTCTGTTATCCTGCCACTAAATATGTTAAAAGGGGAGGCAGACAGTGTGAGACAGGAGTAACCCATGTGAAAGTTTCTTAAATTGGATGATCATTGAAATGTTATTCTAATCTACAACTGTATAGAGCACATATGGTATAATGGTTTACACAGGGGTAATTCATTTGTGGGAAGGGATTAATTCTTTGCTTAATTAAGGTCTGTGGCCCTGGTTATACATTCAGCACTCTATGCCCCCACAATTCACAGTGGAATACCTGCTGCTTTCAGCAGTAGTTCGGACAGCGATCGGATATATGGGCTGTATGTAGTATCTAAAGTTAGCTCTTACTGGTTCAGTGCCTTCCTGTAACATTCATCATTGAGTAAGAAAGTCAGCCGCTATTCTTGCCCTTTGTTTATCTTCTTTCCCTGCCTTTGTGAATCTTCCCTGTTCTTTCTTCCACATTTCCTTCCCTATAGCAACTCCTAGTTCCCAACCCAGTGGACTCTACTCCCATTTATCCCCTAGATGAAAAAAATGATCAGCGATTACATAGCTAATAGTGGGAGGAAATTTTCGTCATTGGGCTTTGAAGATGACACTTCAGTCAGATTAATAAGGGATAGAGCAGTTTGCGCTGAATCACTTACATACTGTTCCCATTTGGAAGGTTCTAGCCCTCATAGCTGCAGAGAGAATTTATTTAATTTATGAAAACTTAGATTATGGACAATCTGAATATGCCAGGCAGGTCCTATCAATACATTATACAAGCCATGCATTTCATAGCCCTGGGTTAAAACAAAAGAGTAGGGGTCAGGGAGATCATGAGGTTTAAATTCAGTTGAACCAGTTGATTGTGTGGCTTTGGTACAAATTACCCCTTCACTTTCCTGTGTTCCTGTTCATTCAGCAGAGCCTCCTTGAAAACCAGCTTCTGTGGCAGTGTGACACTTTCCTGAGTTAATAACAAGTGACCAGGGGGACAAAACAACAATATTTTCAAAAGCTCCTTTTCAGGCCTCTAAGAGATGTCTAAAAGGGAGAAATTACAAAAGTAAAACATGCGCACACAAAAGATCATATTCAAAATTTGCTTGACTCTCTTCCTTTCAAAGCACAGTGCTAAGAAAAGGATTGTGCACCTCTACAAGCATCGTAAACCAAGTCTGTGGATTCACGATCTCCTCTGTACACTTTGCAAGTCAGGATTGTTATAAAACTCTCCCTCTTCTCCCCCCCACCCCTTAACTTCAATACTCTAATGCAGGGGTTGACAACCTTTCAGAAGTGGTGTGCCTAGTCTTCATTTATTCACTCTAATTTAAGGTTTCGTGTGCCAGTAATACATTTTAACGTTTTTAGAAGGTCTCTTTCTATAAGTCTATAATATATAACTAAACTATTGTTGTATGTAAAGTAAATAAGGTTTTTAAAATGTTTAAGAAGCTTCATTTAAAATTAAATTAAAATGCAGAGCCCCCCCGGATGGGTGGCCAGGACCCGGGCAGTGTGAGTGCCACTGAAAATCAGCTCACGTGCCGCCTTTGGCAGACGTGCCATAGGTTGCCTACCCCTGCTCTAATGTGTGTTAAACCAATTAAGCAAATATAATATTATGAAAAAAAATAGATTGTATTCATGTGGGTTACCCTCCCTGTCTAAATCTATGGCTCTACCCAAGTTTCTGTTTTAAAATAAACTTGACATTTCCTGCAAACAGGTCTTGTGTTTGTTTACTTTGACAGACTGATAGACAGTCTGGAGAGTGGTGTGAAGCGCTTCATGATTTTACAGCAGAAACCAATGAAGACTTATCCTTTAAAAAGGGAGACTACATCCAGATATTGGAGCATGTGGACTCAGAGTGGTGCAGAGGGAGACTGAATGATAGCGAAGGCATTTTCCCAGCAGTTTTTGTTCAGACCTGCTCCGGTACAGTATTTCTAGTGGAAGATAAATTCTCATTTCTTAACCCAAATCCCTGGTAACAAACACACTTATTTGAAGTGCTCATAACGATGATTGGTGCTCTGGTTCCTAGAGTGATGTAATTAGCTAGGTATATCTGTAACACTAAGCAATACTACAGTGACATGCCATTGCCTAGAAATCAAACTAGACCTTGAACCAACATTTCCCAAATAATGGCACAGAGCCAATCACTACAGCTGAAGAGATACCATTAGAGATGAGAACTTTGCTCTAATTTAGTTTGCATTTGAAGCTGATCTTTGTATCAGTAAACAATATCCAGGTTTAATTACTGCTTGGAATGTTTAATGTTCCCGGTACTCTAAAGTAATACTAACATCCGAGAGGAAAACCAGGTTAGTTTTGGCCTGGGCTTTATCACCGAGGTAAAACCATTGTCTTCAAATTAAATCTACAGTTACAGCTGTCCAATGCTATAGCCTTCAGTGGAGTTTCACAGCTGTAACTGAAGGCACTGAGCCAAGCTGGCAGCTGGTATGAATCAGTGTAGCTCCACTCAGGGCTGGCTCTGGCTTTTTTGCC